ATTGGGTCTGTTACTACCCCTATCGTATGTAGATGTTTGTTAAACTGGTAATGTCCCGTAAGGAATCCTACCAGTTTACGCAGTTTGTCCCTTGAAAGTGAGAGATAAAATTTTGTCAACTTACGGTCTGGTGTCGCCATACAAGCTCTAGGAGTGAGTCATCAATTTCACTTGTGTATTTTAACAGCATTTTTGGATTTTTTTTAATCTATCCGGAAGAGGAAGCAAAGATATAAAACTTTATTGTGTGAAGCTACAGGCAATGATCCGTTAATAAATTATATAGAATTTTATAGATAAAACAACTATAACCGTAATAGATACATTTTCTAATCAAAATTATAAAACTGATTAAATGTATTTTGTTTGTAAGTTGGTCACTTTCTATTTTCTTGAACAGTATGTCTTACATCGACATAACGTTCAGGCTCACTCGGGGTCAAAAACTGCACCGGAATGAATTAAGGTACATGAGTCAGCATTGAATTTTGGCTTGGGATACGTTCCTGGAATACCACAAGCTGGTAATCGTGAATTGATACGATAGCTCATCATATAGTTAATTACGGAATAGTTTCATTTCTCGAATAAGAATGAATTTTAATTAACATTAGCTTTAGTAATTGGCAATGAATTTCTTACTCTCTTTAAAACAAATTTACATAGACTTCAGAGAATGTTGTTACCAAGAGCAGCAGAAAAAATATGCAAATTAAATGTAGATTTAGCTAGACTTTGATAAAAAAAAATAAATTTTTAGCATCAATAAATGTGGAATAGCAATGACCTTATGGTAAATTGGTGGATTCATGTATCGTCTTTTGTGGAAATCCCGGGTGTCTCGAGCGAGCAGACAATACCTCCGCGACATTTATCATTTAAAATGCTTAGCTTATTCGCTGATACACTATCAAGTAAACGTGAACAGCCCGAAAAAGTGCAGGCAGTCAATAAAACGTTTTACCAAGGAAAGTTGCCCCAGCAATTGCGCAAGCAGTAAAATGGTTTTTATTTGTGTTTTATGTTTTATCTCAGTTTCCAGTTTTAGACGATGTCGATGAACATAATAATCGATAAATCAGATTATCTTAAATTTAGAATACGTTGGAGTAATTTTCAGTTTTCTTATGATATAAAACATTTTTATCGTAGGGGTTTGTTAAAATTTTAGAAAATTAAAACGTTTACGATATTTTTGAAAACAAGTAGGTTGCTCACCCCCGACGGTGGTCCCTATTTAAACAGCCACGCGTTCCTTCTGGAGAGTTCGTCATCGCCGCTTCGAGGTTGCTCTAGAGTTTGCCATCGAGTATTCCGGTGAACCGCTTTTAGACTTTTCTTTATTCGAACGTCGCCGTGACCGATGATAATCATGTACATACTACTATATGTATGGATTTATTTCGTAACAGTGTTTATCTACTGTACACGCACACTAAAGGTTGCTTGGGGTTAAGTTAAAATTCGTTAATGCTTGTTTTTCATACAAATTTTTAAAGGTACCACCACCTACCGTATAGAATTAATTATAAAATAAAACAATTATTCGTCTTCATGTGTGTAAATTTTCATAAAATTCTTAATTCTGTGTAGACCTAATGCAGAAAAGACAAATTTCCGTTTTTTACTTTGATATCCGAAAAACATAAATAAATGTAAATGTCTATACGTATACTGAATGCGCCTTATCTAATCCAAAACAAAATAAAAAAAAAACCTGTTGGAGCAAGTCTCGGAAATAATAAGTTGTGTGGAATAATAAGGTTTCAAAAGAAAATATGACGTGGTTTTCCGTTTGGAAAAAATGTGTAAAGTTATTTATATAAAAATCTCTAGCCTCGGAACCACGACAAATACCTACACGTTAAGGTTTTTTCTTTTGAGCATTCGAGTGAAAAATGATTTTAGGAAAACCGTAACAAAGTTTCTACAGCAATTTATTAATACATTTTTAATTATCGAGAGAAAACCTTCAGAAACCTGGATAGGCACTAGGAATTATTTATTTCAAATTAACCAGTTTGTACATAGTAAAAAATCATCTTGAAAAAACTACTTAGAAAAACAGTTCTAAATGAAAAACTTCATTTTATTTTTTGTTTCAAATTTTTGCAGAACAGTAGCGTTGAAAGAAGATGAATATAGCACTGTCTACAATATTCATAACAGAGTTATAAAAAATTAAATGAAACAAAAGAAAAGTGTGACAAGAATTGTTATTTTATTATTTTTACTTTCCGACCCTCTAATTTTACGTTTGCTCGACCTTTCATAACACCTAGAGTACGAAGAAATAAGTCTCCTGCTTCCGTCTGTCTGTTGGTCTGTCTGCCGTCCCGGATTTTTATTAGACAGATAATCTTCGAAAGTACTGAGCCGATTGTTGTCAAATTTTGTGTTTATATTAGGTAGGTGTAGATGGTAAAGCGATAACCAAAATTTGTTTAATCCTCCCCACCAATAATGCGATAACGTCTCTTCAAAATTGCACATAGTAAACGGCTTGTCAATTATGTGAAATAACATAGTCCTACACATGTAGTTTATGACCCCGTATTGAGTTTTGTCCGAAACGTTCAGATTTTTGGAAAAAATTCAAAGTTATACAACAACATTTTGCAATTTAATTTTGAATCTGCAAAACCGAATCTTGCAGATGTTTTAAAGTTAGGATAAGCATGATAAATTTTTAATCAAAATATATTTACTTATCTCCTCTAAAAAATTGATGACGTCCGCTCAAAATTTCGCCGTATAAATCCTAACTAAATTGTTCAAAATATGATGAGTCTGTACTTGTAATTTATCATTCCATTCATATTTTTTGGATTTGTATATACAGGTGTCTCAAACAAAAAATGAATGAATGCGTGAATTTATTTTATTGATTTAATCAGAAACTACAAAACCGAATGCTTTGAAATCTGTTATTGTAAGCATGGTAACTTTTTAATCAAAATGTATCTGTTTATCAACCCCAAAAAATTGATGACGTCGTCTCAAAATTTTACCGAATAAATCCTAAAATGGCAAAATATGGTCAGTTTATACTTGTAATTTATCATTGCAGTCATATTTTTTAGATTTGCTTATACAGGGGACTCAAAAAAATTAATGAATCTGTTAATTTATTTTATTGAATAATAAGTCTGATAAATTGTTAATCAAAACATATCTGTTTATTCCCCCCAAAACACTGATGGCGTCTCTCAAAATTTTGCCGAATAATTTCTACGCAAAATGTGCAAAATATGATGAGTTTTTCCTTGTGATTTATCATTGTATTAATATTTTTTAGTTTTGCTTAAATAGGTGGGTCAGAAAAATTAATGAATGATTTTATTTTCGCAGAAAATTTTGGAAATACAAAACTTTTATTTTTAGTATTACACTGCACCAATCTAAGTTGATATAATGTGTCCTTGTTTTTTTTTTGCACTGGTAGTACGCTGTGACTACTTTTCTTTTGTGCTGTGACGAGCATGTTGATGACGTCGCCACAAATTTTTTGTTGGTCAAATTAAGAACGAGTCTCCCCATTTTCTCGAAAATGTGAAGAATACACACGTCTAGAGATGTATTATGTAATGATAAAATAACAATTATAATATTCGGAACATTATGTTCGATTCGTGGTTTGATTAATAATTTTAGTCGTGTGTTTTGAGAAGACAAATTCATTCAAATCAAAGTATTTTCTATCTGACATTTTTTCGATGTATAGGTAACCATAAATAAACACTTGCAATTACCTAGTGTTGAAGGACAAGGGTTGTTAGATATGGATTATTTTAAGTTCAACATGGTTAGTCATCGGAATCTGACAACGGACTCTCAGTCAGTAGCGTAACATGCACACTTCAGAACGGGATATTGTATAAAAAATTTTTATTTAAAATATCGGTTGATAACTACCTATTGTTTTAAGAATTTTAAAGCCTTGACAAAATGTTGTCTATTCATCCTCTCCAACGACATAATGACGTTTGTTTTTTTTAATTCTATCAAGTAGATCTTATTCCAATGTGTATATAAAATTTATTTTATTTTTTAATGAGTCGTACGGTACACTTTTGCGAAGAGTTTTGCTTTAATTAGAACAAGACAAATATAGACAGGAATGGATAGCTGCTGGTGGAACCAATCAAATATTTGATAAGCACGCTTCACTGAGTAGAAAGAGTTGTTAAATTTTCTTTTTGTTTCCTGAATTTGGAATATAAATAAATTTATTTTCTCTAGCGATTTAAATGTATGTCAACTTGTCTTAGAATTCTGCGAAAATTATGTTTTGAGTTGAACTGAAGATTTATTCTTTCCAACTTGCTAATTTATATATTCCTTGTATATATTTTGTACTTATTCGTACCCTGATATATGTATTTGCAAGTGTAATATTATCTCAAAATGTACAGGTTCTTATGTCAATTGTAAACACTAAGAATATAAATGAAAATCAACAGTGAATACAATTCATGTCTTGTATTTGCACTCGCAATAAGTTGAATATGAGTATCGTGTCATGGAGAATTTAAAGCAACCTAATCGTTAGCAGAATTGTTTTCTTAAGCATTGGATAAGTTCAACAGAATATAATACTTCTAATAGTAGATAGTAGTTTTATCCACAATCTGGTAACAAAAAAAGCAAATTTTGATTTCATCCCATATTTACAAAAGTTTGTCCAAATCCAATAATTTAACAAACATTTTGACCCTCTGTCTTATTCGTCAGTGGTGTTGGACGCACTTCCCCCATCAATCTTTCTCGTGCTACGCTACTGTTGTAGGCGCATTTTGAGAACTTCTTAGATGTTAGCCGCATTTGCAAGGGCGACGCGCCGACCATAGACTTAGTAGCTAAGGCTTCTTATTTATCAAAGAGAAACTTTTGCTGTATAACAGCCAAACTACAGAAAGGAGGCTATGCAGCTTTAAAAGGATTCAACCGTGCAAAAGTTTAATTGCAAGAAACACTCGGGAAAGTGTAAGTATTCTTACCTGCTGTGGCGTTAAGGACGTGGACGTTAATGGATGCGGGAACCGCGTTGGAAGGGCTGCAGGTATAGTTGCCGTTGTGACTCTTATCAGCATCTTGGAGGAGGAGAACGCTGGAAGAACGGCTTTCTTTTACCGTGACTCCTGGGTCGTAGTTAATCATTCTGTGTTCGTGATACCAAAAAACGTAGGCGGGAGGTTCCGTGGAATGCCGCAAGGTACAAACTAAGCGAAGCAACGACCCCGATCGCATATACAAGTCGGGGGCACCCTGAATTTCCGCTAAGGCCTCTGAAACAACACAACATTTCCATCAAAAGGGTTGCCAGACAAAATTAGCTTGACAATTACTTTTTATAATTAAAGGATGTGATCTTAAATTTTTAATGACTGTATGAAGTTAGCTCGTTAAAGAGATTTTTAAACTGAGCAAGGAATTTTTAATGGATAAACTAACTCATTTTACATTGGCACAGATGGAAATGTTCATTTGAAAGATGATTTCGTTAAGTTTGGAATTAATGTTGCATATTTGGGCCTAGCAGATATATAATTAATGCTAATTAAAGCAAAGGTTTTAATTTATTCGCCAACTTACTGTCGCCTCTTATTTAAGTTAGAAATTACTGCTTTACATCACACAGTAACGAACTGAAAGGGTTTGGCCTTATTACAAGTTTCGTAGTTCAATTTGTGCTTGAAAAATTAAAGGAATTTTTGCTTAAAAGAAAATATATAACGACACGACAAACGTAGTCGACTGAACGATAAAGCTCAAACGGTGAAATACGTAGTGCACAACAAATGGGTAAACATTTATTAAATATTTTTACCACAAAGTTTTCGACTTCTACCATAGATGTCGAATGTAATACTTCAGCCGAGGAATGATTTTCCACTTACAAAGATGAAATTATTCATGATAACTTTCCAGCTTTTAACAAATTGCGAGACCAATGTTAAAACTACAGCAGTATATAATTTTTTATTAGTTATCGCTTGTTCTTTTGCTCGTTTTAACTCTTCAAAAATGATCCTAGTCTATTTTCTAGAAACTATCTCTTTTACTGTTCCATAAAATAGGGCAAATAAGAAATTTAAATGTAAAAGATACTTACTAGTGACCTTAAGTTCGATAAGAATACTAGTTGGTGGATGAGTAGACATTTGGCACTCATAGAAACCTGCATCGGAGGGCTGAACGTGCTTGATAAGGAGGCCCCAATTTTGAAGATGTCGAACATGCTCCACCAAGAAGCGGTCGTCTGTATTGTACGTAGTCGGACCGACTGTCAGGAGGTGATAATCCTGTTTGCGAATCCACGAGACCTCGAGATAAAAAATTCAATTAACTTGGCATAGACGACAATTTTCAATTACAGTTATGTGCTTATATATGGGTAGCTGATTCAAGGTGCCCGATTTCGACGTCGCGAGAAATTGAGAACTTTACCTACAAAAGCGTAGTAATGATGCCTTGGGGAGCAGAAGCTCATTTTTAGTTTGTTTGCGTGAATTCCGACTTGAACTGTGCAAATGACGAAGTTAATATTTGTTTTATTGCCAAAGGCGTTGCGCAACTTTCTAGCATTATCCGGTCGAGTTTTTCGGGTGGTAATTATCTAGCATTGGAACTAATAGATTACTTAACTCTACGAAAGCACAAAGCAAAATTAAACTTAATCTGCTTTTTCGTAAATTTTCTCTTTTAGTTTTCGAACTAATTTATATCAATGTTCCAGCACTATCGTTAATTTCTTAAATTTGACATACATTTCAAATTTTTAGTTTTTTTGTTTAATCATGTTTTAAAAGTTTTAATTAAAGTAGTCGATTTGGAATTCCAAGAAGCTAAATGTTAAAAATAAAGCACGTTGCGAATAAAAATTTTAAAGCTTTCTTTGTAGGATTGTCACGAATGTAATTTTCAGGAGATTTTTTAGTAGGTAGTGGTTCTTATTTAATATTGTATGTATGCTTACATGGAAAATGTACTTTGGCGCATTACAAAACAGTGCCATTAAGTGATTAATTCTATTCTTTCGTTTAATTGAAAACGATTCTTCTACTTTTAATAAAAAATATTTTTAAACAACTTGTAAGTCAATATAATATTAAAAAGCAAATTCGCATAGAAACACGTCTGTGGAGTTCATAGACGGTTAAAAAATAAACTCTGCTGTCAACAACAACAGACTCGCAGCGTTCTAGACATCTATACAAATAAATTTGTAATTTCATAAAGTTCTAGTGTAATAGCTTTGCTTTTTTAAAAAGAGGATGCTAATCAACGTTTATTGCTAATTTAATTGTCGATAATAAACCGTTGACTAAAATAAGTATTGTATTACATATTTGAGAATTTAAATTAACAAAGACGTGGAAATTATACAAATTTATAAAATACGAATTAAATTTTGGTCTGTGGATTACCGAAGCTTTTACCAACAACTACTCGTACTCAGGGTATACATTTATTGACATATTATGCATTAGAACACAAAAGGGTAAGTTTGTTATTAGCTTTCATGTTGACTGGCAAATTACATATTTTGTAGTTAACTTTTAGAGATCAGTTTTTATTATTTCTGTACAAGTTCTCGACTTGATGACTGTTAATCGTGTTTATAGTAACTAAAAAAAAAATGCTCTCACAGTCTTTGTCAACAAGTATCCTATAATAAATAATTATCAACTATCATTAGTAAATAAGTAATAAATACAATAATAAATATTTCTATTAAAAACAAAGGCGTATAAACAAAGTTTTGAGTATTTTAATAATGTAATACAAAATTTTTCATACTTCTTAAATTTGCGTTAACCGACTTCGTTTTTGCGATCTGTGTTCTGTTCCATAGAATAAAAAAAACTGACTGGAAAATTCAATAGAAACTTTCTAACTCTTAGTTGAGTGAACAAATAAAGTACAGAAACAATGTTATCAATGTAAAATGGTGACATTAATATTAATAAGAATTTATTTCACACTTCACGACATATTGCGTGTCGGCCGCCTTAAGATTTTTTGTTAAATTGCGTTATAATTAAATTATTAATGCTCTAGAGTTTGCCACAGAAAGTTTTAATCCTGTTTTAAATACCTGTGCGCATGTTTTATTTTCTTGTAAAAAGAGGTTTTTATTTTGAGCTGGAGTTGAGTTTTATAACATTATGCTGTCACCGCCGTTATTGTGATTTAGAACTGGTGTGCATTACTGATCTGAGTGCTGAAAATAGTAAAACTTACGAAGAATTAAACCGACTTAAACTACAAATATTTTCGCATTCTACACATCAAACAGCTAGGTGAACTTTTAATGATGAAATAACGGTGTTCGAGTTTTATTTGGTCATTGTTTCAGATTTTCAGATAAAAATGATACATGCTGTTTACAGAAGAGCTGGGGACAAAATTAAAAAGCAATATAAATAGAATGTATGAAATGAAGTTGCAATACTTAGAACAAGCCAGATTACAGCTGTTTTAAACCCTCGCACTTCGACAACGTAGTTCTAAATGTTACACAGGAGTCGGCAACACAATTTAAATTTTGACGTGTTATTCACTGTCTGTAATCCGCTTTTATCGAGTAGAGTAAATAAAAACGTAGTTTAGAAATGAATTTTATTTTAACAGCTATTCCACAAAGTTAATTACATCACTATATTTAAATTTGGTGCATTTGTGGAAACATCAAACAGCTACTAAATAAATACAAACGTTTCGTTCGTCCAAATGACATATTATTTTTTTTTTCTGGCAAGCTAATCATACGGTATTGATTTCAAAATGCATTCACCTCTTTTTTCACTAATTATAATAAATAATGAACATGTGATTTTTTACGACCTTTAATAAGTGATTCAGGAAAGATGTTTATGACAGATTTTAAATAACAGGGTAGATATGGTACGAACACATTCTACTTATTTTAAAATCAAATTGTGTCTAATTAGACCATAAAGATATTTAAATTTTTGTTGTATAAATTATGAAATTTATTTGCTCTGTTAATCTGATTTTTTAAGGAAACAAGGATAAAATTGACGCTGCTTCGCGGTGTGTTATTTCGACAAATATGACTTTGCGTTTATCATGATAACTCGTAATACTTATTTTGTTGGGTAATTTGAATCTTTTTCACGGTAATTTAAATTTTTATGAAACAATAAATTCGAAATCAGTTTCAGTTCAGGCTTGCCTTCTGTCTGGAATCACCATAAAAGCAATATAATGAAACAGTGTTGTCCTCTGGGAGAGCGCCTCAGAGAGATTTGCTTTATTACATTATGGAAAATGGGTCACATATAACATGTATTTTGGAATAATCGTTTTATTAAGTACCGTTAATAAGTGGCATTGTGATGAAACCTACCCGTAAAGCTCTCAACGCTGTCATTAAGCGCTGACCTCTATCATATATTTGATGAAATTAATAATCAAATACACTGTGAATTTATTGACAGGATAAACTTAATAATTTAAATATTACATGTTGAGGTTGAATATACTTTTTGCAACAGATCGGTGCACATTTTACGTTTTTGGAAATTAAATGTCTTTCGAAGATTTTGTTAGTAAATCCACATTTAATGACCGTAAGTTGGATTGTGGTCGTTTCCATTTTTATACGATTTAACAGTTACTGGGTTCATGCAAAATTCATGTAAAACTTATCTTATTGTTAGATCGCCATTAGTTTAATGGAAAAATAAACTGTCCTATATATGTAGTTGAGCTGTTGCTCAGTTGCAGTATAAAAAATAAATTATGGTAGTTACTAGAAATTAATTCATCATTTTTGGTTTTCTCAATATATCTAGCTATATTAAACGTACTCAGATACAGTAACAAATAAATTGAAGATAATTAGATTCGACTACTTTATCATAATAACTCTACTTTCAACATCGTTTAATCATCAATTAGTCACCACGATTTAGTTTGAACAGAGAAAGTTCAGTATTTTTCAGAATTAATTAAATAATTTAGCACCCCGGCGTTCTGACCGGTCCGCCCCTACACAGACCATTACATTAAAATTAGGTTGTATTTGCATTTGTGCTAAGAGTTAAATATGTAAGCCCTTCCGATATTGGGTCTACTGCGAAATTCAGAGTCCGATACTTTTTCCGACTTTTGCGAGGGTGGCAGTAGTGGGCGATACATTTTTAGCACCTTATTTGATATTGTGAACAAAAATCAAACACTCGTAAATAAATCTCGATCTACTACTACTATTAGCTTATTTATTGAAATGAATGTCATTGGTCATTGTTATTACACATTTTATTTAACACTGAATTTAATGATGCAGGTGAGATTAGGGACCCAGAAAATTCTAGTAATTTTGGTTGTGTTTCAGATGGCAGAAAAAACACGGACGATAACTCTGTATGATATTAACAAATAAATGCATTTTAACCTGCGACGCAAAAAGAGGAGGGTTATCACTTTGAAGCACTTTTATGTTTTATCGACGTTTCATGACCACTACAGTACGAAAAAAGCAGTCTCCCGTTTCCGTCTGTCTATCTATCTGTCTGTCTGGTATCTGTATCCATTTTTATTAGACACGTAATCTCCGAAACTGCTGGGCCGATTGTTGTCAAATTTTGTATGTATGTTAGAAATATCATGTTGATGATTTGATGACGTCATCTCAACGAAGTGTATTTTAAGATGAGATGAATGTTATACAAAAATGTACTCCTATACTTGTAGTATACAAATCCGCTTTCAGTTTTTTCGTTAAACGTTCAAATTTTCGCAAAAATTACCATTGTTGTATTACCACCACGGTATGTGGCTCAGCGGGATTCTAGGTAAACCGGCAACATTCCGTCTTTGGTTCGATGCCGAACTTAGCGCGTCCTTTTTTTTCTTGCATTGGTATAACGCTGTCACTAGTTTTCTTTTGTGCTGTGACTAGAATTATCCATGTTGATGACGTCATCACAAATTTTTTATTAGTCAAATTAAGAACGAGTTACCCCATTTCCTCGAAAATGTCACACGTTTTTATATAATACTGATAAAATAAGCATTATAATATTCAGAACATTTTGTTCGGTTGTGGTTTAATTAATAATTTAATTAGTCCTGTTTTGAGAAGACAAACTCATTCAAACCAAATTAATTTTTACGTGATATTCTTTCGATGTATAGACATAAATAAATACTTGAGCTTCAGATTGCTATTACCTAATCTTGAAGGACGAGGGGTGTTATTTATGCCTCTGGTTTTTACTTTACAGAGGTTATCACAAAATGAAAACCGTAAAATCCAGTTTTATAATTTTTTTAAAGAGCTAGATTTGTCGAA